AGAAAGAAAGAAAGAAAGAAAGAAAGAAAGAAAGAAAGAAAGAAAGAAAGAAAGAAAGAAAGAAAGAGAATCACCAGTACAATATTGAAAAAAACCAAGTAAAGGTTCAGGCCCTGCTATCTTTTGGTTTCTCTGATTCTTTTTTCTCATAGTTTCTCTTAGTTCCTTCTAACTACATTTCCCTTCTCCCACTCAAAGCTTTGATTCCTGGCCCTTCTGTTTTTTCTCAGAACAACACAACCATTACTGGATACCCCGCGGGCTTCTTTTATTAGCTTCTTTTGAACTTCTGAATGATTAGCTTGGGATTTCGGCTGCTTATCGACTGACACATCCCTGGCAAGTTTTTTGACATCCATTTTTATGCCAGGGTTGCTATGACAATACAGCAATGCCATGGTGGTTTAATTGGATTTTTTTTCATTATGATTATCATTGTTTCTTTTTTGCTCAGAAGGCTTAATATGTTTTAATGACTGGTTCAGAAGTTTTTTGTTCCATTGTTTGCAGCTTTTGTGTCTGTCTCTGTGTGTATATGTAAGTGTTGTTGTTGTTGTTGTTGTTGTTATTATTATTATTATATTTTACTATAAGTTGGAGGAATCTGTTTTTGCATTTGTTTCTTCAATCACCGTGTCTCCCTTTGGATGTGTCTACTTAATATAAAGAATGGATAAATACTTTGCTATTTTTATTTTAAGGGATGTGGTGGCTCAGTGGCTAAGACGCTGAGCTTGTGGATCAGAAGTTTGGCAGTTTGATGGTTCAAATCCCTAGTGCCGCGTTCCTTGTCCCAGCTTCTGCCAATCTAGCAGTTTGAAAACATGTAAAAAATGCAAGTAGAAAAATAGGAACCACCTTTGGTGGGAAGGCAACAGCATTCTGTGCCCCTTCGGCGTTGAGTCATGCCAGCCACATGACCACGGAGATGTCTTCGGACAGTGCTAGCTCTTCGGCTTTGAAACGGAGATGAGCACCGCCCCCTAGAGTGGGGAATGACTATCACATATATGTGAGGGGAACCTTTACCTATTTCTATTTTTATTTAGATCTAAAGGATTTTGCAGAATTCCACACCAGATGAAAATAAGGAACAAGGAGAAATAGTGCATAAATTAGGTGTAAGGCAGGAGGAAAAGATAAAGGTATTGTGATTGTTGTGTTGTGCGCATCTGCACACATGAAACAAGTTTGATATTGCCATCAACGAATCAGTATGCTTAGTGACAGCAGGTCTCAATCCTACACCAATTGAGAAAACATATCTTCTGGTTGGTATTGCCCCATCTAAGAACAGAAGAGCAGCAGAGGGAATGGGATAAATTGCCATGGACAAATGGCTATGGCCAACTCACCATGGCCAACTCATCATACCCAACTCACTGCAGGACAACTCACCATGACCAACGCGCCATGGGGCAACTGTCTCTGGGACAATTTAACGATTCTATTTAATTATTTAAAACTAGCTGATAACCTGGTGTTGCCCAGGTATTTATTTTAAGGGGGGAAATGTCCGCACCAAACGTAATATCTAATGTTGGATTTCCCCCCTTACCAGAGGGAGCCACCTTGTGGAGCACTGTGAAGCTGTTACCATGGCAACTCCACTGTGCTGTACAGTAGAAGCCAGTATGGCAGTACAGGAGAAGTCATTTTAAGGCACAACAGGCTGTATCTTAACAGAACATACACCCCGAGGGATTTTAGAGGCGTCTTACCCCCACAATATTTTTTCCCAGAGGGTAAATCCTCTGTGTACCAAATTTGGTTGAAATTGTTCAAGGCGTTCCAGAGTTATGCTGGAACACACACACACAAACACACACAGAGAGCCATTTTTATATCACTTAAAATAAATGAAAATTATTTTAATTTTTGCCCTTCTCATTTCACTCTGTCCCTTCTTTTACCTCCTTTCTTTACTTATTCCATTCCACTATTTCACTGGTGTTAGTGTACCTCTTGTATCTCTTCTCCTGCAGTAAGTTGTCCTATGGCGGGAATGGCCATGGCAAGTTGGCTGTGGTGAGTTTTCCGTGGTGAGTTGGCCACAGCAGATGTCGAGAGAGCTAAATAAGAGAATGAATGGATGTAGGCCTCAAGCCCACCGACTCAGATCTAAGAACAGCTTCACGGCAAGAACAAACATTCTTGAAGGTCCGCAAGAACCCCGTCAAATTAAATAATGGAGACCATCGAGCAAGGGATAACCTTAAAGGAGGATATGTCTGAAGGATCTGACCTCCTGTATATTACCTGGGGGACCGTAAATAAGCTGAGAGTTGGAGTGCCTAAAGGTAAAACCAAGATGCTCAAGTGGAAGTTCTTAGCAGATAACAACCCGCTGTGTGAATGTGGAAAAATGCGGAGTATGGCTTATTGGCAAGAAGGTGGCTTCACTTTGGTGAAGGAGGAGGAGGAGAAAGAGAGGAAGGAAGAGATTGGACAACTTATTTTAAACCTTTTGTATGAAATGGTATAAAGTCTTCTGCTTGATCATGGGCCTGGACTACAAGACCACCAAGATATCTTCCAGTTCTATTCTGATTCTTCTTCTCTTCTTCCCCGTCTCCGTCTCCATCTCCATCTCCTTCTCCATCTCCATCCCCATCCCGTCTCCTTTTCCTTCTCCTCCTCCTCTTACTCCTCCTCCTCCTTCCCTTTCTTTTTCTTCCACTTCCTCCTCTTACTCCTCCTCCTCCTTCTCCCTCTCTTCTTCTTCTTCTTCTTCTTCTTCTTCTTCTTCTTCTTCTTCTTCTTCTTCTTCTTCTTCTTCTTCTTNCGATCATCCAGGAGCAGCTGGAGCGTCGCGCAGACGCTAGTACGCATGCGTGCACCACGCGCGTGCACGAGGATGCCTCCCGCCCCGTTCCAACCGAACCGGGTGGAACGGGGCGAGAAACCCACCCCTGCTACCTACCTACCATGTCTGTCTGTCTGTCTGTCTATCATCTATTTTTATCTATCATCCTATGTTTCTATTTATTGATATTGTCTCTGTGTGTGAATTAATATATTTATTATCCCATCTATTATCCTACCTATTGCTCTTTCTATCTTTCCATCAATCTATCTAAATATTGTAACCCTGCGATCATGTCTCCCCTGGTCCTTCTCTTCACTAGACTAGCCATGCCCAGTTCCTGCATCTGTTCCTCATATGTTTCAGCCTCCAGTCCCCTCATCATCCTGGTTGCTCTTCTCTGCGCTCTTTCCAGAGTCTCAACATATTTTTTATAGTGTGGTGACCAAAACTGGATGCAGTACTCTAGGTATGGTCTTACTAAAGCTTTATAGAGTGGTATTAGTACCTCACTTGATCTTGATTGTATCCCTCTGTCTCATTGTAGTCCCTCAAGGCTGCTTACAATTATATTAGCTTTTTGGCTGCCACACCTTTCCTCGCTCAATTCCCCCAACTCAAAAAGATTTTTAAAAATCACAATGAACAATGACTTTTTGACCCCCTTGGCAATTTACAATTGCCCCATAGCAGTGGTGGAATTAAATTGTTTCTACTACCAGTTCTGTGGGCATAGCTTGGTAGGCATGGCATGGCTTGGTGGGCGTGGCAGGGGAAGGATACTGTAAAATCCCCATTTCCTCCAATCAGCTGGGACTTGGGAGGCAAAGAATAGAGGGGGCGTGGCCAGTCAGAGGTGGTATTTACCGGTTCTGCGAACTACTCAAAATTTCCACTACTGGTTCTCCAGAACTGGTCAGAGCCTGCTGAATACCACCACTGCCCCATAGGTACAACAGGAGTAGAAGCATTAATGTACCATTTGAACATCCCCATTTAATTAATTAACCTGAACAAAGACACTGAGTGAATTCATTTATTCCCCATCTCATTTTTGCATTTTGCTGTTTATCCCAAATGGATTGTATATAGCAGTGATGTCGAACCTTTTGTGGCTCGCATGCCAAAAGCGGAGGGAGTGCAGGGGGGGTCTGCGCAGGCGTGCCACACCAATAATGCTATGCGCACAACCCCAGCGCACATGCGCGCACGACCAGCACTCCGCCCCCTCCCCATTTTTGGTGGGCTTTTTTTTGTCCTCCCCAGGCTCCAGAGGCTTTATAGGAGCCTGGGGAGGGCAAAAACAGCCCCTCCCCCCCAGAGGCCCTCTGAAGGCTTCAGAAGCTTCCCTGAAGCCTCCGGAGCATGAAAAATCAGCCCTATGAGCAAACCGGAAGTTTGGGAACGTCCTTCCGGTTTGCTCGGAAGACTGGTTTTAGCCCTCCGGAGCCTTCATGAAGACTCCGGAGGGCAAAAAATGACCCTACGAGCAAACCGGAAGTACGTTCCTGAACTCCTGGTTTGCCCGTTGGGCCGGTTTTTCATGCTCCAGAGACTTCAGGGAAGTTCCTGAAGCCTCCAGAGCGCGAAAAACGGCCTCAAAAGGAGGCCGAAGTCCTTCTTTTGAGCACGCTGGCCAGCTGACAGAGCAACACCTTGCGTGCCCGGACAAATGGCTATGCGTGCCACCTGTGGCATGTGTGCCATAGGTTCGCCATCATGGGTATATAGGGAATCCTTGACCTACAACCATTTGTTTAGTGATCGTTCAAAGATACAGTGACATTGAAAAAAGTGACATGATCGTATTTCAAAAGTGACTTATGACCAGGGGTGGGATTCAAAATTTTTAGCAACCAGTTCTCTGTCTGGTAACTGCATGGGCGTGATTATGGTGGACATGGCCTACTTGGTCTCCTGAACCACGGCAGGCGGGGAGGGTGTTTTTGCCCTCCCCAAGCTCCAGAGGTTTTCTTCAAGCCTCTGGGAGGGCGAAAATGGCCTCCCCAGGCTCCGGAGGCCATCCAGAGGCTGGAAATGGGCCCCATTTCTGGCCTTCTGGCACTTTGGGGAGGCCCATTTTTCACCCTTCCAGAGCCTCCGTGCTGGCCCTGCACTTACCTGGCATCCAAAACGGGCCATGTGAAGACTTCTGGGAGGGACTGGCCAGGGTGCGTGGGGCCAGCCAGTCCTTGAATCTCACCCCTTCCTACGACCATTGCAGCATCCCCATGGTCACATGGGTTCCACTACAAAACCATGCTCGACTAAACCACGCCTGACTAAACCGTGTCACTGACGTCATCAACAGGGCGACAACAGTGCGGAGATAGAAGCACGCTGTAAACCCTAAACCTAAAATTAACCCCTAAACCTAAACCTAACCCCCCTAAACCTAACCCTAAACCTAACCCT